GAAAAACCGTAAAAGTAGAAAGACGTATGAAAAACGCGAAAATACTGCCAAAATACCGAGCGACCCTACCTCTGCTTGGAGAGTAGGAAGAGATGAATAAAAACAGAAGCAAACAGATGTGAATAAAACTCACCCATACTGTCTCTTCCATTACATCCATCCGACTCTGTATTACGGAGATGGTCTCTGGAGTAACTTTGGTTTTCTAAAATAACAAAAAAATGATGAAAGATGTAAACAAAGCCGTGATATCATCAACAAAGAAGTACCTCTAGATCACATCATATCATTTACAGTCATATATCGTATCTGCGAAATAAGTAAAGCCGCTAGGGGGCATAAAAAGACGGTGAACTGTATTTTTAAAATCGTAGCACCAAACATCATCACAATCGAACCACAGCAACTTATTTTATGCCACCACCAACGCAGAGGACAAATCCAGGACAGGACAATACTCATTCTCACTTGAGTTAAGTGAGGAAAGTCGTGTAAAGTTCATTTCCCAAGGGCACAATCGATGGCATGTCAGGACTCGAACCCGGGACCTCTTGGTCATGTTGGTTCTGAGTCGAGCACTCTGCCGCTACGCCACACGACCCCACAAACAACGTATTCATGCGTACTTATGAGAACATTTTAGAACACACCTAAAAAATGAGATTACAATGATGACATTTAATTTGGGCGTGTTTCTACGTCTGAAAGGTAAGAATCAGCTGACCTTGGTGACAAGCTTGAAGAAGATGACGACCAGGATGATCTTGATTGGTTGAAGGATGATGACGTCAGTCAAGAAGGAGATAAGGAAGGCGAAGAGCCAGGACTGAGACTTGGTCCTGCCGTATTCATTACCGTACAGGACAGTGAAGGCTCCTGATACCACCACTATGGCGGCCACTAGGAGCCAGGCTGCAGGTAAGGAAAACAGGTCAGTGTTAACATGGTCATTACCATACAGGATAGGGAACATAAGGCCACGGCAAATAAATTTTATGGATGACATCCAAATCTAATGCGATAGGGCAAAAAAAACAAGGCAGGCCCAAAAAAGCAAGATTCCAACATTTTCAAATTTTGACATCATAAACCTTGTTAAACAAGAAATGATACATATATTGTGCTAAGTTTACTGCCAACTATTACAACATCCATTGTGACTGAAAAATAGGCGACAATGGTTGTTGAAAATGTGATCTCTATTTAATCTTTGTTTTGGAATAAAGTTCAACATTTTACTATCTACAACACTGTATAACACTACCAACACAGATGAACTTTTATGATAGCTGATAAACAGTAAACGGGAATATCTTACCCACTATGCGGCACCACCAAGGAAACGGACGGTACGGCTTCTGGTTCACAGTGACCTTCGACCCTTCCTTCTTAATGACGTATCTGGTATCCACTTTCTTCAGAGCTGAAACTCACCAAAGTCAAAGTTAGGTGATCACACAATGTTTCTTTCCGCAGTGGTGGTGCCAAGTGGCCACGTAGCTAGACTTGTGGACTTGGGATCGACAGGTTGTGGATTCGATTCTTTGATCCATGAGGAAGACATTATACAAGTCAAAGTCAAGTCAAAGTTTATTGCACAACTAATGTACGGATACATCGTATGGCAATTAGAGGTACTAGGTACAAATCTAAAATCTAAACTAATGCGTAAAAGAGTACTACATACATGCTGTATATGAATCGAACTTAAGTTGCATCGTATACAAAAGGAATGGCAAACATTATACAGGGGTTCTATAAATCTACAACTAAACACTACTCTGTCCTATACTTAAGTATTACTAGTATAATGGATATATATATATTGATTCCATTGTTATGTGTAAGAAATCAGTTGATTGTTTCGGAAATGACATTGTTTCTTTTAACTAAGGCGTTAGAACATGACTTTCCTAACTCCGCCCAGGTGTAAAATTAGTACCTGACTTCATGTGAAGTAAATGGCAGGATATGGAAAAGAATGAGCTCTGCCTCCCAATACTGACTGGCCTTGAAGCACTTAGCAACCCACTGCCTCTACAGCCTCAAAAGGACTATGAGACTACTTTTTCCTCTTTCCTTTCAATGCTAGTCAAATTTAATTGAGACAAGGTGGCCAAAACGACCAAACCGCCCCTAGTCTAAAACCACATGGTTTCAGCCCTAGTAACACTGCATGAAAAGAGGGATTTACCAATGCTGGTAAATACCAGGTAAGTCTGGTA